GGGAAATGATTTATTGGGTGCCTAAATATGCTGTGCTGTGCTGTGCTCATGTGGGAGCCTGGCAGTCTGACCCCAAAGCACATCTCTCTATGTGAACATCAGAGCTACAATCAGAGCCAAGAGACCTGGGTAGGAGGCACAACTACTTGCTTAACTATAGGAAGTCACTTCCATTCTCTGGACCTCAATTCCTCTTCAGGCAAATAGAATAATCTCCCTCCTGCTGACCCCATAGGTAGTGGTGAGATTAAAATGAAATAGTGTAGTGATAGAATGATCTCTAATACTCAGTGTGTATGATAAATAGGTAGCTTTCAGACCCATCTGATCTTTGGGACCATCTGAGTCAAAATACAAATTGCTGAGTCTGATTCAATGGCCTTGGGAATCTGTGTCTTTCAAAACACCACCGTGCTCAGGTGGGTTTGTGAATCAGCTCATATTTACAAATGTAAGGGGTGAGTATCATCTCCCAGACCACAAGGAGCCCAAGACTTTGCTTCCTTTTTCTGCCCAGCTGAGATGTGGCCAGCCTGACACTGCCCTGGGTCTCTACCCTTGAAGTTCTCTACTTGCTGATAGAACTTGGCTGCCTCTCAGCACCTCCCCGCAGAGACACAGCGTAGGAGGAAAGGATAGGAAAAAGAAGGTTCTTATCCAATGCAGATGTTGCCCTTTGTTTCCCAAACCAAGTAAGCTGGCGTGGAGGCAAGCCAAGCCACAAGGCTGAGAAACAACCAGTTTGAATAAGCAGATAAAGTGTCCAGTGATGGTGATGGGTCACTCTTTTGCTTCTGGCTGGTAAAATGTGTGTTGGTAGAATCCCAAGGCACACCTCTTGTATTTTATTTTACTGACTTTGTGTTGTCCTTGCTGGATACTTTTGGGAGGAGGGAAGGGGGAAGAAAAGCTGGGACAACTTTTTATGTTTGAGATCCCCAATATCATTACCCAATAAGGAGCCCATGACATGGATGAGTCCAAACAAGAGACCATTGAAAAGTCATTGCCATGAGTTTCAGGGTGAGTGTGTGGAGGGACCCCCCCTCCCCCTCTATTAAAGTTACCTTCCAAGTTTGCTTCAGCTTCAAATAACATCAGTCCTGTTCACATCCTGTGAGAACAGTTGGCTGGAATGTTGGATGAGAGGAGTTCAACCTTGAAGCAGATGCATAGGTGAAAATGTAGGCTTTCAGGGCTCCTGAATGTCAGCACTGGGGAGACACGTTCTATAAACGAGGAGACTGAGGCCCACAGAAGTGCCATGACTTGCTGGTTTCCAGATCTGTCCTCTTTGTTCTGGTGCCCATGCTGCCTCCGTACTTTTGGGTTTGGGTTTTCTGTTCACCTTGCCTTCGATAACTATTTATTGAACTCCTCTGATTCAAGGAGCACCTTGCAGCCCAATGATTGGCACAGGTGGGCGTTCAGTAGTTGTGGATGAAGGAAGTCTGTGTAATCCTGTTGCTGCTAACCAACTGAGGATCTTGAACAAGACACAGGCTTCTAAGCCTCAGCTCCTTATTTGTATGTCAGGAAGTTGGAATATGTGGCTTTTAAGGATCCTTCCAGTTTCCAGGCTTCTGCAGGTCAGACTTGGTGTTAGACTTGAACTGATGCACAGGAAGGCCAAGAGTTCTGCTCAAAGAATAAGCCTCGCTGGCTGAGAGGTGCTCAGAGTCCCAGAAAGGAGAAGGCAGGGCAAGAGCTGCCCTCCCCTTTCCCAGGGTCACAGCAGCAGAGGTGAGCCCAGAGTAGAAGTGAGGCCTCAGACGGAGAGGTCCCACCCAGCACAGGCCATTGGAGAAGGGAGAGTGACTTCTGTTCTCTGGGTGCTGCTCCTCTAACTCTGGGACCAGGGACCATCCTGGAAGGTAAAAGCAGTAGCTCTGGAGATGCCAAGGGGGGCTCAGTCAGTTGACCAGTGAGATATGTAAATCAATGCTGGCCACCACTTCTTGAGAGGCTCTGCAATTTCCTGGTGTCAGGGTCTGGGAGGTGACTCACCATGGCTCTCCCCTGGGCCTTTGATACTCTTTCTGTATGTGTTGCTGCAGGTAGGGAGTCATTAACTCAAGGTTTCCTTCAAACACGTGTTTTTCCCCACTCCACACACTAGACCTTCCCTGGAGGCTGAAGGCCCAAGCTTCTGCCCACCCTAAAACAAAAGCTGGGAAATTGGGGTCCTCTTTCTCCCCCTATTTGGTCTTTTTCCTTGGCTGTTCATCTATTTAAATTCTGACAGCTCATGCCTTAGGAGTCTAAGCTTTGAGCATGGGAATGTCAGCCCCCCCCACCACCCCACCACCCCCGCCAACCACACACATGGCCATTGGCCATCTGGTTCAAGCCCTGTTTTTAAATGAGGAACTATGGTCAGAGGAGTTGAAAAACCCAGGCAGGTCTACGACCCCTTCCACCACACCACATTTGCTGCCTGTGTCGCTTTCTCCAAATAAAGCCTGGAGACCCCGACCTCTCACACACGCAGATCCTTCCTCACAAACTCCCAGAAAAAGCCACCAAGCAGGGAGGGCTCCCCTTCCTTGCCGGCCTGTGGCCAAGCCTCCTTCCCCTCCTGCCGCAGTCCCTCAACATCAAGTCCAAGCACTTCTTTGCCCAGCTGTTAAACAGCAATGTGGAGGCGAACAGGAAGCCAGGAAAAAAAAGAAAAGAAAAACGGTCTTTTTAGCTGGTTTGGCTACTGCAGAAACTAACTGCAAAGATTGTCCACTGGGAAAATGGGGCTGGCAGGTTGGCAATGTGGGGCAAAGGACCCTGTCTGCAGTGGAAGTCTGTGTTCGGGGCCTGAGGAAGAGGCAGGAATAGATGAAATGTGCCGAAGGTTGAGGCTCATATGAGATGCCCTTAGAAGACGGGGTATGAAGAGGCTAGGGTCGCTATTTTATTATTATTATTTAACAAACATTTAGTAGCCACTAGGTGCCAGGCACTGAGCAGGGTGCTAAGGATACAACGAAATAAACGTTACAGGCTGCTTATGTGTGTAGAGCTCTTGTAATAAGTGCGGAGATTCAGGTACCGGAAGTGAGGCCCAGGGGGCGGGGCATATGGAGACGACTGAGTGTGCAAGATGAGTAGGTGCTGGGAGCTAAAGCCTGGCGCTCAGCCCCCGGCTGCACATTAGAATCACCTGGGAGTTCTGAAAACCCCAAAGCCCTGGCCACACCCTTCACCAACTAAACTAGAATCTTTGGGGTTAGAACCCAGGTATGAATAGTGGAAATTCCAAAGTGAGGCCAAGGCAGGGACCACTGACTGGTTCATGGGGTAATTTATGTCTCAGGTTTGCAGGGGCATGGAATGACTAAATGGATGACTCTTGTTGGTTGGTTGGTTGGTTGGTTGGTCTTTAATATTGAGCCTTCTTATTCACTCTTTTTAGGAAACCATGAGAATTGCCTTTCGAATGTGGGTCTGGGGAGGAGCAGGAAGGAGGAAGGAGGGGAGGCAGGAAGGGGGAAGGGGAGAGGAGAAACTGGGGCTGTGGCCTCTGAGCATTTAGTGATGCTGTCACGAACCACGCCTCCCTTACTGCCAGGACCTCCTGCAGAATTCCCCCAATTCCATGTCTGGAGTCTCCAATAACCCCCAGGGGATTGTGGTCCCAGCCTCAGCGCTCCAGCAGAGCAATATCGCCATGACAACCGTCAACTCACAAGTGGTGTCAGGTCAGTGCAGGGGATTGTGGGGACACCCCTGGGAAGAGAAAAGGTGGCCCTGAGGGGATTCCAGGGGTGGGGGACAGGGCACTGCTCAAATGTTCTAGGAAATAGAAGGGAGGGACTCCCTGCTGAGTTTCTTGACTAAAGTGTTCTATAAGTTTATAGATGATTAACACCAAGACCTGATTGTGATGATTTGGATCAGTCTCATGAGCCCCTCAGAGACCAAACAAGGCTATTGTCGCCTCCCCCAACACACGCCACCAGAGGCTCTAGACCCCATCCCCCATCCCCCATTCCACCCCTGCCCACAGGGGCTGAATACCTCCAGAGCAGAGGGTGTTTACATGTGAGTACCCTTACTCCCACCTGCCCCCATGACAGGGGACACAAAAACTGGTTGTCTCCTCAGGTGGAGCCTTATACCAGCCAGTTACCATGGTAACCTCCCAGGGTCAGGTGGTTACCCAAGCAATCCCCCAGGGAGCCATCCAGATCCAGAACACACAGGTGAGTGTGTGTGCAGGCGTGTGCACATGTGCATGGGTGTGGGGGAGGGCAGCTGTGATCACTTCCCATCTGCTAGGCATTTTACCCGAGTGACTGAGTCACTCCTCATTATTTTTCTAAGAGGTAACATCACCCCCACTTTACAGATTAGAAGCTGGGTGTTGGAAAGGTTTTATCAACTCCTGGACTTTGCTGCCCCCCGGGTTCCATCAAAGGCTCCTGTACTTCCTATTTCTAGCCTGCACTCACAGCCGCTTTGTAGCTCAGTGGGGCAGAGCACATGCATTGGGGGGGGGGAAGAGTAAGAGGATCTGAAGTCAGAGGCCTGAGATCTGACATTATGTCTGTCATCGTGGATAAATCACCTAAACTCTGAGCCTCGGAGTTCTTATCCACAAAAGGGGGATTAACACCAACTGCACACAGCTCTACCAACCTACAGGGCTGACGTGGGGGCTTACTGTGGTAATGGACAGGAAGGCACTTTGCAAACTGTAAAGTCCCCCAGAAATGCGAATTATTGGATGGTTTAGGGCAAAGTCATCTCTCTTATACCCTCTGCATGGCTGTTTCCTCTCTCACTCCCTTCTCCCTCCTCCCCCCCTCATTCCTCCTTCCTCTCCTCTTCCCTTCTCCATTCTCTAAGGGGCTGGTGTGGGGTAATGGGAAAGGTGACCTCCCAAGGCCCTAGAATGAGTTGGGACGGGGGTTGGCAGAGAGAACCTGCCGTCACTATGGCAACAGGTCCCTGGCTGCTGGCCCACCTGGCTGCTGATGCTGACTTTTTCTCCATGCACCCTGAAGGTTAACCTTGACCTCACCTCCCTCCTGGACAATGAGGATAAGAAGTCCAAGAACAAACGAGGAGTCTTGCCCAAGCACGCCACCAATATCATGCGTTCTTGGCTCTTCCAGCATCTCATGGTGAGTGTGTGTGTACTGGGGGCATGGAGGTGCAGTGTGCTGTGTGAATATAACCCTTTGGGTACCAGACTCCACTGTCATCTCCAGATCTGCAGAGGGCATGCCCTCAGAGAGAGGCTCTCTGGTAGGGTTATCATCTTCCAGAGGCCAGATCAGAGGGGAGGCTTAAATAGGACCTAAAGTTAGGAGACTTTCTCTAGTGTTTGCTGCTGCCACCTCAAAAAAAAAAAGGGTGACATCAAAGACAGAGTAAGGCAGACAAATTCTGAGGAGAGTTAAGTACTGGGCAAGTGTACGGAACTGTTTTGTGAACAGAGTGAGGTTTCATGAGGGCCAGGGCTGTGCTTTCTGGTCCAGAACCCTCTTCCTGCAGGCAGCCACACCCACCCTAGCTCTTCTGTGGAAGAAAATGTTCATTCTTGGCCAGGACTCTCCTGTTGCCCTGAGTCCTCACAGCTGGGGAAGCAAAGGGGGTGTGTCCCTTTCTCTCTGCTCAGAGCACCAAATTAGGCACAGTGTGGGGAAGCAGTGGTTAAGACCCTCGACTCTGGAGGGGCAGCCAGGCTGAAATCCTGGCTTCTTGCCATTATCAGCTCAGCTCTGTGACGCAGCGCAGCTGCTTTCGTAAGCCTCCATGGCTACTTTCATGAAATGGCGACAAAGCCTTAGGTTTAAATGTGATGTTTATAAAGTGCCTGCTGTGTATACCAACAAAATGGAAGCTATGGGTTTGTGTGTAGGATTCGTTGCAACAAACAGGCCTTCTGTTGAGTGTAAGGAATGACTTCAAAACTATAGTCCCCTACCGCCATCCAAGAGCAGTCGCAATAAATAAAGGTCAGTGGCTGTGTCTGGGGTGCGCGCGCGCGTTTGTTTGTGTGTGTGTGTGTGTGTGTGTGTGTGTGTGTGTGTGTGTGGTGCGCATGCACCCCCCAGGTGGGAAAGTAGCTTCTGTGAGCAGAGGCAGGCTCTCAGCAGTCCGCAAGCTCTTGGCCTGGCCTGGCAGGACATAGATACACAGATACAAGACAAACAATAAGCTTGGGACTAGAGACATCTTAGCCTGCGAAGTGTGGGGAGAACGATGAACAAGGGAACTCTTTCTCTGTCAGATGGATCATGAGAATCAATCAATCTGCCAATCAACAGCCCTTCCTTTGAAATGGGAGTGCCTCCAAAAGCCATGGAGTCTAGGCCAGGTGGTGGTTGTCAGATCTGGGATCTTAGAGATTGCCCTAGACATGCTGTGCACTCAGCAGACAGGAATAACTGCTCTGTGGTGATGGATGGGAGGCCGGACATATCCTCACCTCAACTCTAGGGACTTGGGGCTGCCTAGAGCTTTGCTGAGAGAGTGCATATTGAAAACACCCCTGGTGAACAAACAGTACCCAAATTTGGAAAGAAAGGCTTGTAAGGCTGAGGGTTACAGTGAAGAGAGGAGGTTGGAGCGACTCCCAGAGTTTAGAGATGAAACCATGGAGCCAGGGCCAGGTGTCCAGCCCTCAGGCCTCTTGGGAGTGGCCCTGGCTAAGGAGCTGGAGTTCATGGTGGAGATGCTCAGGTCTCCTGCCTGCTCTGGTTTCTGCACTGTTGGAGAGCCAATGGACTCCGATGGCATCCGTGGCTACAGCTCCCAACCCCAGCTGTGGAAAGAGAGACTCCTGGGGCAGGACCCTTTCTGTGCACTGACCTGTCACACCCAAGATGGGGGCAGCCCAGCCCACCCCACCCCCACCCCACACACACACAGTGGCTCTAGACCTGGCTTCAGCATTGTGGTGTGGGAGGTAAGACTGGAAGGCTGAGGGTGTGGTAGAATGTTCATGGGCTTTTGAGGCACCAGACCTGGGCTCAGATCTAGGCTTTACCTCTCATTTTGTCACCTGGCCACACCCACCTCTTGTGAAGATGACAACGAAGCAGTGAAATGATTGCCAAGACCCTGCACGGTGAGGTGCTTTAATACATGTTCGTTCCTCCTTTCCTTCATTCCCCAGCTCCCACCCCATACATTTTTGAAGACTGATGTGAGCACACCTATAACCTTACTTCTGAGGGGGAGAAAAGGCAGGTGTAGGAGGGAGAAGAGCCTGCAAGACAAATAACCATACTGGGTGTCGGCATCCAGGCCAGCACCCCTCACCAACACCCATCAGCCACTGTGGGCACCGCCTCAGCTACCATGCACTGCTCATTTGCAGCTCACCAGCCTGAGACTGGAGGGTCACCCCATCAGTCCCTCCTGGCTGTGCCTCTCCTCTGATCTTGGACCTCAGTTCATGTTCTGCCCTCTTGCTCCTTCCTGCTGAGCCCTCTCTGTCGCTCAGGGTCTTTTCTTTCCACTCCATGGTCCCTTCCAGCTGGGCTTGGGATGGCAGAGGGAGGTCAGTGGAGAAGAGAGAGGAGTAATAACTGATTACAAAGCAGAAGGGAAGGCAGACCCAGGCTGGCTCCACAAAAGGGACCTGGGATGACAGGGAGGACTGGCTGAAAACATGAGTAAGACTTTCTGCCGACATCCTTCCATCCCCTGGACCCTCTCCAGCTCAGAATACGCTCAGTGCATGTGCTATTAATAAAGCACTTAACACCGGCAAAGTCCTCCCCTAGTAAATGCCTTCCCCACAGGAGCCATCGAGAGAGGACAAGGGAGTGACCCCTGAGCCTTTAGTCAAAACTCAGAGCTTTGGGAGGAAGAGGAGGGAGAGGCTGTGCAGAAGTCCAGACTCTAGGGACACAGCAGAGCACGGCTGTGCTCTGCGTCCAAGGCTGGGCCACAGATTAGCCTGGCTACCCAGATACAAGTGGGCGCCCCCCAACCTCCCACCCACCCCAAATAAATAAAACACCAGCTCGGGAAAGTGGCTATAAAGACTCTTGGTAACAGGGTACAATGGAAAGAAGACAGGCTTCGAAGCCAGGCAAACAGGGGTATGAATGGAGGCCCTCCCACTAGCTGTGTTATCACTCTGTGTCTACTTCTTTGAAAAAGGGAGATAATACCCCTTTTCAATGGTTGTGAAAATTAAATGAGATAACATCTGTAAACAGCCATTTCTGGCACAGAGTCACACTTAAGAAACGTGAGTTCCCTTTGAACTTTCTAGAACAGGGGAACAAGAGCAAGTTTTTGAGAGGAAGGCCCCAAATTTGTGAAAGTTAAGTAGAGGTGGATGACTGATCTGGTGTTCTGATCTGTAACACCTACTGATTTCACCATCATTTGACCCTCATATACTGACTAAGACTGTTACTTACCTGTTCTGTGTGGGATATGTGTGTCAAATCTACATGTCTTATATCTCTGATTCAGTTGTAAATTGCTCAAGAACAAAGAGCATACATTAGGCCTCTTCCGTGGGCCTTAAAGACTGATTCCCAAAGTGTGTATCTGTACGTTATAGTGTTGCTCCCAAGGAAGGGTTCCATGATGAATAAGTTTAAGGAAACCTGGGTTATACGAAGTTAACTTGTTTCTTTATTCTTAGTGTATTGGGGGCATTGTGAATTTGCAAGAGGGGGTATGGCTTGCAGCTTTCCCCAAAAGTATTTGATTACTCTAAGTCTCCCTTTTTTTCACTCTTGCTTTGGAAAACAGCCCTGAAACTATAGTTCTGGGGAAATACAACTTGCGGTGACACTATTGCGCAGGTAGTAGCTGTTCAGTTTTAGGAAAGCAGAGTAGAAAAGGTATGAAAAAAAGCAGATCTCAATCTACAGAAGATGTTCTCATATCCAATGGAGTGAGGACAATGAATTTGTTAATTGGTTAATTGGAAAAGCTGGTTAAAGAAAGGAACAACCATTAAAAAGACACACTTTAATTTAAAAGATGTACATATACTTATTTGCTAATCTTTTGATAGCCGATCAAGATCTTTTTCCCATTAAAGTTTGTCATTTTACTTGCACAAACCTCTCCTATAATATAGCATCTATAAATTCTGTCTTTATTCAAAATGGAATAAGAATTTTGGCATTTGGAAAGTAATCTGGCTGCAGGATCTTTCTAGATTTTTATTGTGTATTCCAGTCTCTGAACATTTGTCTCTCTGTTCCTAACTATACGGCATTTTTAAGCAAATTTAAGTCTCGAGTCTTTCCAAAGCATTGCACTTAGGTTTTTTTTTTTTAGCAACAATAACTCCTTCTTTTTGCACTCATATTTCATTGGTTTGCAGAATAGCTAATTAAATGATATAATTACAATAGCACATATAATTGGCATAAACGAGTTTGATACAAACGCTGCTGACTTCCTGAAAAGCAGATGAATTGGCTAATGAGCATCCTGCAAAGTAGCCTGTTCATCTCAAGCATTCAGGACAATGTGGACAGCAGTTCTGATAGTTTAGAGAAGAAATGGAGAGCATTGTATAGTCTGCAAACTTGGTTAACAGAGATTAGTTATTAGAACTTCTATACTAAATACTGGTTTTTCCTGTTGTCTTCTTTCCCTCTGGCAGAAGTCAGTATTCTTTGATTCCTTTTGTCCTGTGTCTGAGGCTTCTTGTCATTGCCACTGTTCTGTGGCATTAACAGCTACAGAAATGTATTCAGAAGATACAGTGCTCCTGGGATGGAGAGTAAATCCAGAGTCTTTTTGCTGTTAAGTTGCAGTGAAAGTGGATGGTTTCATCCATTAGCTTCTTCCTTCTGTGTCCCTGAAGAATCCAGTGATATTTTCTTGCTATTGCATTTTGGCGGAAAGAGGCTAAACTCCTGCTGGAAGCAGCAGTTCCATAGCAAACCCAGACCGGGTGAGAAACACTGGCAGAAGATTCTCTCCATGGAGGATAGAAGGAGAGGGCTGCACTTCCTCCTCAGCTTCTGCCCCATCCCCTCAGCTCCAGATCCCAGCCTTCCCCTACCCTGCTGGGTGATTCTGTTCATTTCTATTCAAATATGACTGTTCTCTGGGCTGCAGCCACCCAAGCTCATGAGCAGTTTTATAGAATAGTCTGGGGGTTGGGGGAGGGAATCCTACAGAGGAAACC